GGGGGTGTGGCCCCGGAACCTGCGCGCCCATTGGCCGGCCGGCGGGCGGGCGTGGGCGGGGCCAGCTCCGAGCGGACGACTGGGCGGGGCCGCCCTAGGCCAGAGAGAGGATGGAGTAAAAACTGGTTGAGACTGTCTGGTTCCCGCTCAGAGCCAGCGCAATCAGGCTTAGGGGATCCTAGGAGGCCTAGGCCTTGTCTTATTTTTGCTTACTTTGTGATGTATACGTGTGCGAAAAGGTATGCAAATTATATGTCACTGAGATCCTACACCTCTGTACTCACCTCCCAGCTAAGGGGATCTAAACAACCCCCAGTGTACCCCTAGTATCATGGTGTGTACTTTTGATGTTTCCGTAAATAGTACTGTGTGCTGCATATGTTTTGCAATATGTTTTTTGGCCTATCTTCTCTGACCATCTCCAGCCCGGACATAGATATCCAAACTGCTCACTGTTAAACTGGCATCTTTTTATCTCTCCCAAATTGCAGGGAAGGCCTCCCCTAGCCACCATCCAGCACAATCCATCACATGGCTCCATCGAATTCCCTCGCAGTAGGCTTTTGCAGTTACTCTGGTGATTTATCTGTTTAAGTTGTCCTTCCCGTCCTGGAATGTAACTTCAGGAGAGCAGGGACCTTGTTTATTTTGTTCATGGTTATTCATGACCTTGTACTGGCCGCATAGTAATCCCCAAAGAACTAGTGAATAAATGTCTCAAATTGAACTCATCATTCTTACCCACCCCGAAACCTGCTCTGCCTCGTGTATTTCCTGTCTTGGTGGTGACACCACCGTCTGCACAGGCACCAAGGCCAGAAACTGTCCCGTTGCCTTGGACTCTCTCTTTCTCTCTCTCTCTCTCTCTCAGCAGCGCATCACTCACCTGGCACTTCTAGCTCCTAAAATTCTCCCAAGTTCATCCCCTTCTCTGTGTTCCCTCCTCTGCTGCTATGGGTTTCAGGTTTTCATGTCTCTCACCTACTTTGTAGCAAAAATCTTCTCCTGCTCTCACAAGCCACCCCTTCACCACTTTAGTCTGTTCCACCTCATTTCCATCCCCCTCCAGCAGCACCTGATACAGAGCATACCAACCCTTAGTCTTCTGTCTCCCAGAGCTGCTAAAGGCAGTACCTTCACCTGACCAAGCTGCTAAATGTCCTGTATGTAAACACAAAGAGAGCTTAAGTAGGGGGAGAATTGCGTGCAAACAGCAGCTGGCAAGCCAATCTGCATTTAATTGCTGGGACTCTTTAAAAACAACTCTTAGGAGCAGTCATCCAAAATACAAATACAGTGATTACTCTATTAAAGCCATTGCTACCAGGCCTAGAAAGAAGGGAAGCCGTACTAGTGCTCGAGATATAAGGCAAGAAGAAGAAAGAAAAGGGAAATAAAAAGGGGGGCGAGTTTCTTCACTCTTGCTGGATCTACCAAATTTCTTGCTTTGGATGCTTAGGAAGTCGGCATTTGTCTTAGCTGAAGATGATTTACAAGGCAGTAGCAGAGCCAGAGGAGAGTACTGCCTGGCTGTTAACTAGGAAGGAACCGCTCCCCTCTGGGCAGGACTCTGAATCCGAGGAGATGCCATCCTTGGAAACAGCCTTTACGTTGGCTCCTCTCTCACAGAAGTGTTTGGGGCTGGGACTCAGGCTCCTAACTCCGAGGTTGCGCCCAGACACCTGCCTTCCTTATCAAATATTGTCAGTCTAGAGCTATGCTAGATACTTAAACAGACCTCCCTACCTCCTTGTCAACAGTAACGTTGCTTTCATGTTAAGAGTTTTTTCAAGGTTCTTCATGTATATATCTCATTGGATACTCACAATGTTTGGCAGCCCTGTTTTCATTCTCTTTTCATGGATAAGCAGGATAGATTTGCTCAAGGCCACATCGCTAGTTAGTGGCTGATGGGTCTTGCCTGTGAACATGTTTGTTTCCTCTGCCGGCCAGACTCCTTCTGGACCTCCTCTGACACCACCTCAGGTATTGGCTTCTCTGAAGCCTCGCTGTACTCACCTGGGGAAACCAAGGGCTTCTCTCTCCTGTTCCCCACCACTCAGTGGAGGGACTGTGGCTGTGGCTACCACACCATGAGCTGCCCCAGCATTCACTCCCTGGCATATGAGTTGGTGGGAGTGAAGACTGAGGCAACGTTTTCCCAGGGAAGTCTGTAAATTTCTGTCAAAATGTGGAAATATACACATCCTTTTACCCAGCAATTCCACATGGAGGAAGCTATCTGATTCGTTCATTCTTTCAACACATACAGTCGACCCTCTGTATCTGTGGGTGCTGTATCTGCAGATTCAACCAACCATGGATTAAAGATATTCAAAAAAGGAATTCAATGAAAAAGAACAATATAAGAGCATGGAGTTGGTGTAACACCAAGGTCAAGGATTCGGATGTCTGTACTGGCCAGTTGCCAAATAAATAAACAACAAACAATTAAAAATTTATTAGTCAGGGTCCAACACAGAGACAACAAAGGGAGTCACAGATATAACAGACAGCCACTACTCCTAGGGCAAGATCCACACCTTATTTTAGAGGGCACTGCACAGCTAAATAAAAGTGCTTATAAAACAGCCATTCATGGGAAAGTACATGGTTAGTGTCCTTTTGCTACAAACTGACTGAATGATATGAAAAGAAACTGCAGGACACTGGGCATGATGGTGGCTGATGCTGCAGGAGCTAGGCATGTAAGAAGCCATTCACAGCAGGATCCACATGCTGAGCTGTGCACTTCAGGAGCCCAGAGCCAGAAAAACCATAAACCACAGGATTCTGGCAAGAGGAACACAGTGAGAAGATAGACACCATCCTTTTCCAATATTCCTCTAATACCTTCTACTGAAAAACCTTAGCATTGTTCTAGGTGGCAAAGGAAAGCTGTCAAAGGTATGTCAAAAACTGAAACAGGTCTCAGATTTTTATCCTATTTGCAAACTAACAAGTTATCTTGTGATGGAGTTTGGATGTGTTGTCCCCTCCTTAACTCATGTGGAAATCTGATTCCAATGTGGCAGTGTTGGAACCTGATTGAGTCATGGGGGCGGATCCCTCATGAATGGATTAATGCTCTCCCTGGGGGAGGAGGGGTAGTGAGTGAGTTCTCGCTCTATTAGTTCCTGGGAGAGCTGATTGCTTAACCCTGGCACCTCCTCTCTCTCTCTCTCTCTCTCTCTCTCTCTCTCTTGCTTCCTCTCTTACCACGTGATCTGCTTGTACCCACCAGATGCCTGCCGCTTTTCTGCCATGAGTAGAAGCAGCCTGAGGGCCGGCTTGTGGCTCACTTGGGAGAGCATGGTGCTGATAACACCAAGTCAAGGGTTAAGATCCCCTTACCGGTCATCTTTAAAAAAAAAAGAAGCAGCCTGAGGCTGGTGCCAGATGCAGCTGTCCCAGAATTGTAAGCCAAATAAACCTCTTTCCGGGCCGGCCCGGTGGCGCACTGCTACAGTGCGCCGCTTGGGAGTGTGGTGGCGCTCCATCCCACATGGAGGAAGCTATCTGATTCGTTCATTCTTTCAACACATACAGTCGACCCTCTGTATCCATGGGTGCTGTATCTGCAGATTCAACCAACCATGGATTAAAGATATTCAAAAAAGGAATTCAATGAAAAAGAACAATATAACAAAACAAACAAACAAACAAAAAAACAAATAAACCTCTTTCCTTTATAAATTACCCAGTCTCAGGTATTTCTGTTATAGCAACACAGAATGGACTAAAACAAAAAATAATACAAAAAGAAAACCAATAAAGTATAACAACTATTTACATAGTATTTGCATTGTATTAGGTATTATAAGTAAAATAGAAATGATTTAAAGATTACATGTAGATATACATACATTATATGCAGATACTATGCCGTTTTATATGAAGCTTGAGCTTCAGTGATTTGCTGTTTAAGGCAGTGTTCTAGGCTCTGGGGTATGGCACAGATTCAAATTGATAAAAACCCCTAATGAAACATTAGTCAAATCCAGCAATATAGAAAAAGGATAATATATCATGACCAAATAAGGTATGTCCCAGGAATGAGAGGTTTGCTTAACATTTGAAAATCAATCAATATAATTCAGCATATTAAGTGAATAAAGGAGAAAAACCAGATAATCATGCCAATAGATGCTGAAAAGCATTTGACAAAACTCATTACTCCTTGATGAAAAAAGCTCTCAGCAAACTGGGAACAGGAGAGAATTCCTCTATCTGAGAAAAGGCGTCTACAACAAACCTACAGCAACATCATACCTAGTGGTAAGTAACTGACTGCCTGCCCCTAAGATGGGAACAAGCAAAGATGTTTGCATTTAGCACTTATTCTGTGTTGAACTAGACGTCCTAGTCAGTGCAGTAAGATAAGAAAAAGACATAAAAGGCATAAATATCAGAAAGGAAGAGGGAAAACTGTCTGTAGCCACAGATGATGTAACTGTTTACCAGAAAATCCTAAGGAATATATAATGATTACTGGAACTAATGAATTTAGCAAGGTCACAGGAAATAAAGTCAGTATACAAAAAATAATTTTTTAAGCTAGCCGCAAACCATTTGAATATGAAAATTTTTAAAATTCAATTTATGATAACATCAAAACACAAAGAAAGAAACCAAACATAAAATAGTATGTAATTTCATTTATATGAAATCTTAGAAAAGGCAAAACTAATCTATAGTGACTAAGAGCAGATCAGTGAATGCCTGGCATGGGAAGGGGATTGACTGCAAAGAGGCCGGAGGGAACTTCTTAGGGTGATGAAACTGTTCTGTATCCTAATCAGGGAGTATACATATAATGAGGATAAAGCTCATTAAAAGTTACACTTAAGGGGCTTCTGGTCAAGATGGCAGAATAAACGGTCCCCAGCGTCACTCTGTCCCCCGAACCGACCAATTTACCATAATTAAAAAGCAACAATAGCCAAGCTGGGGCCGCTAGAGCTCAGGGGAAGAGGAGGAGAGATCTATGGAGTTCATGAAGGCAGGAGAAGCCACGATGAGGGTAAGAAAGGATCGCTCTCATTATTTCAGCTCCAGCTGCTTAAAGCCTGGCCCTGGTGAGTGCATGGAGCA